CGTAGCCAACCGGAGGCCTCAGAACAAAAGGCGCAATAATTAAGATGTACCATGGTCAGTGAGAAGTCTTAGAACACATGATGCAGTGACTAGAAGTCTAGGGGAGGTTTTAGAACAAACAACGTGATGATTAGGACCAACCACCATCAGGAGGTAGTCTCAGAACAAATGATGTGGTGGTTAGAACTGATCACAGACAGGGGCAAGTCTAAGAACAAACCATATAGTAAATAGAGCCAATCATATTTAAGGGGAGGTCTAAGAACAAGCCACAAGATGATTAGAACTAATCAGAATCAAAGGGAGGTCTCAGAACAAATCACATGGTGATCAGAATTAATCACAGTCTGAGAGAGGTCTCAGAAGAAACCACAAGCTGATTAGAACCAATCACAGTCAAGGGGAGGTCTTAGAACAAACAAATTGGAGTTTAGAACCAATCACAGTCTGAGGGAGGTCTCAGAACAAACAAGATGGAGTTTAGAACCAGTTACAGTTTGAATGAGGTCTCAAAACAAATAAAGGTGGAGCTTAGAACCAATCACAGTCTCAAGGAGGTCTCAAAACAAAGTGGAGTTTAGAGCCAATCACAGTCTGAGGGAGGTCTCAGAACAAACAAGTTGGAGTTTAGAACCAATCACAGTCTGAGGGAGGTCTTAGAACAAACAAGTTGGAGTTTAGAACCAGTCACGGTCTGAATGAGGTCTCAGAACAAATAAAGGTGGAGATTAGAACCAATCATAGTCTGAAGGAGGTCTCAAAACAAAGTGGAATTTAGAGCCAATCACAGTCTGAGGGAGGTATTAGAACAAACAGGTTTGAGTTTAGAACCAATCTTAGTCAGGGGATGTCTCAGAATATCATGGAGTATAGACCCAGTCACAGTCTGAAGAAGGTCTCAGGACAAACCACAAGATGATTAGAACCAATGTCAGTCAGGGGGAGGTCTCAGAATATCATGGAATTTAGAACAAATCACAGTCTGAGGGAGGTCTCAGAACAAACAAGGTGAAGTTTAGAACCAGTCACAGTCTGAGGGAGGTCTCAGAACGAACCACAAGATGATTAGAACCAATCTCAGAACAAGTAACATGGAGTTTAGAACCAATCACAGTATGAAGGAGGTCTCAAAACAAAATACATGGTGATTAAGACTAATCGCAGTCAAAAGAAGATCTCAGAATGTACAACAAAGCAGTACAGTCGGGAGAGGTCTCCAAACAAATGACCCAGTAATTCGGACCCATCACAGTAAGAAGAATAAAACGTCTTTTTCACTAGAAGTATACTGCCAAATTAGGAAGAGTCCTTACTGAAGTTCTTCCAGATGGCCTTCAAAATGCCAGGGTGTTCTTCTTCCACCACCATTTACCACTTACACCACTTATTACTTCCTACAACCGAACGACTTGCTCCACAAATATTTTGCTCGAGACCTGTGTGCTCTTCTAAGAGAACACTTCCAACAAAGTGAGGTGGGCTTGAAATCTATGAGATCACTGCTTTGGTCCACTTCCATGATGGGGCCTTTGTGGATATTCAGAGCTTTATCCCAATCGTTGTCATTCAGACGGAGGCTCACCAGGCCAGGGCCAAGCTGTTATTCTAAGCTCTTTCTAGAAGTTTCCATTAAGGAAAGACCATATACAGTAAAATGGCCAGCCAGCAGCATAATCCTAATCATGTGGAATGTATGTAATAGTCAGAACGAAGTGGAAATACGAAGGCAGAAGTGGAAATGGCTGGATTCATTTAACATGTCTTGACAGGGTATGCTTGGCCGACTGATACTGTAGCAGGGCTATACATTCTTGCGCTCTATGTCAATCTTCTCCCTAAGGGAGACTGGGCCACCCAGAAGGACTGCAGTCCAAGCACACATGCCATTCCAGGAGCGGAGTGGTTTTTGTCTGAATAATAGCACTTCTGTGACCAAGCTGGTTCCATCATGCCATATCAATTATGTTCCAGCTTAGCTCTCAGCCTGACAATGTGCTCCTTCACTTGCTTTAAGCCTGCCCTGCTTGTAACACATTTGAGCTTTGCGATGGTCCCGCTCTTACTTACTCAGGGGCATAACCTGAACAAATATACTTCAGGCTTTCACAGCAGTGTGCTTTCAGGGCAAAAGTGTCACAACTCACACTTCTTAACACACCTCCTAATCCGCGGGGAACAGCTATGGTAAACGTGAGCGCCAGCGTGTGATGGCTCATTTACAGTAAGCTCTGAGGACAGGCACGTTTCAGCACATTAGCAGTTTGCTCTATTAACAGACTCTGGATCTGGGTGGGGGTCAAGTCACCTGCCTCACTTTTCAGAAGCTGGGAGTCCGGAGGGTCATGTGGGGCCACAAGGCCAAGCTATTTCCAAATGACCCCCCACAGAGAGGTCCTGAATGAGGAGCAGGAGCAGCTGTTGTAGACCAGGCCAAGAGGCCCTCATCTGGCAAGTGTATGAAGAAGGCCTGGTGATGCTGTTGCATACAACTTGTTGGTTTCAGTTTGATACCAGCTACCGTCATCGGTCAAATATCAGCAGAAAATGCTGGAATTGGATATTGCACAGAAAAGCATCCAGTCCAATACTGTAACAAATCTAGCCTGAGACTGCACACATGGATCGATACTGGTACTCAAGGATTCAATATCAGTATCGGAACAGAAAATGTTGCCCTCTCTAGTTTCAGTACCAGATGACGCTAAATGTTTCAGGACTGAAATATTTAAGAATCAGTGCTTCCTGCCAGTGACTGCACAGTCTTAAGAAAAGTGACTGACTTAATCTGATCTATGATCTAATAGCTTAGGTTTATGGTTGTGAAAAGATACTAATGTGCCATAGATGCCCAAACAAAGATAAGGTAGTGTGAGTGAGCAAGATATTATTTTATTATCCAAATGAAAAAAATTGACTTTCACTCTAAATAAGTTCATGAGAACGATTATTATTCCATGTAATTGTAGCATGTAGTTTTAACGGTGAAATTTCAGAGCAAGATGCGGTGTGTCATATTTTATATATATATATATATATATATATATATATATATATATATATATATATACACACACACACACACAAATACATATATTTTAACTTTAATAATTATCTCTAATAATGTTCAAACACATTTTTTGCACATTTTATGACCTACTAATGTGAAACAACACTGTGATTTCATATTGTTCTTAGTCGTTGCTGCTAAGGCCAGTTTAAATCCAGTATTGTCACGATTGGTAAACAGAACTTTTTTGTTTTTTAACTGGTTGCGACTTGTGAGTGAAACAAGTGTGTTTTGTACATGCTTCTGGTGGCATGCTAACTGTGGTAAGTACACTCAAAGGGTAATAGCTGCTCACTCACATTTTACTTGCCTGTGTTTAAACAAAATGTGGCTCAAACACAGTCCATAAACTGGTGCTGCAGATGATGCAAGTTTTTATTTTATTTTTTATTTTGTTTTTGTTGACTTTTGGAAATGACTGCTGCAGGTTGGGAATGATGTCCATTTATGTCACCTCTATGACACTGGAGTAAGTAAAAGACGAAAAACAAGAAGGATTGTGACCTGATTTACATAGTTAATATAGCCGATACCTGATCTATTAAAACATCCCTGGATCAGCAGTGATCTTGATTCTTTGGATTGGATCTTGATATGAATGTAAAGTCAAAGTCAAATTTATTTGTATAGCGCTTTTTACAACTGATGTTGTCACAAAGCAGCTTCACAGAAATCCAGCAAAGACAAAGTTTTAGCATGAAATGTAAAACCTCCAGGTGAGCAAGCCAGGGGCGACAGTGACAAGGAAAAACTCCCTCAGAGCTGGGGAAGAAACCTTGGGAGGAACCAAGGCTCACACGGGGGGACCCATCCTCCTCTGGTCAAACTACCTACAAAATTATTACTCTACTAATATTAATACTAGCAGTAGTAGTAGTAGTAGTAGCAATAGTTAGGAGATGTAGATAAAAGTTCAGACAAAAACTGTTAATTAACAGTAAAAGTATGTTTTCTCAATAATGGTAAAAATCTTTAAAATTACAGTAATTTAATTTCTTAGAAATTCTAAGAACAACTTAGTATAATTTAACAGTTTCACTGGTTGAACTATTTATTCTGACATACATAATAATAACAGTAACAACCATTTAAATAAACATAAATTGTTGTGAAAAAAGGTGATTATTTGTTTCTGCAAATTTACATTATATTTCTATAAACAGACAGCAGTGTTAAAATGCAATATATATATATATATATATATATATATATATATATATATATATATATATATATATACATACACACATATATATATATATATATATATGTATATATGTGTGTATATATATATATGAATTATTCACACGCATTTAAGCTTTAAAAAATGAGTAGTGACCACTAAATTTTACTCCCTCCACTTTCCCACAAACTCAGGGGCCCAGACAACATACAGCTTGTCTGATGAACCCTTCCAGACTGAATTACACATTTACATTGTTTACTGAGTGCTGTATCTCACACACTCCGTTTGTGCTGATTCAGAGGGCATAACCATATGAGTTAATGTTGCTGTCAAAAATGCCAACATGGTCAAAGCAGGTCATAAAAGCAGGTTGTGATGTAAGTCTGAAAGGGTTCAAGGCCTTAAAACAGAGTGATGCTTTGTATTGTCAAACAGTGATGTATAAGCACGCTACGTGTCCTGCTCTGATAATAAAAATCATCTGATTATTATCTATCGCCCTCAACTCAGCCAAGCCTGGCACCGTAATTAATCACCAACAAGACAAAAAAAGCTCTCGAGGGAGAGGGAGAACTATACATAAACAAAATTATTTGCTTTTTCAAGCGTTTGCATGCAGACTTTTGACAACATAATTGCAATAATTGTGCTCTTTTTCACTACACTTTGAAATGTTAGAGTTCTATGTCTGCAAAAATACAAGGAATCATGCTGTGTGCACTAAAAAAGGCGGCTATGATTACTCACCAACAGTGTCGCAGGGTTCATTTTTGTGGACACAAAAATCCGTCCTGAAATGAGAGAGACAGCAAGTGTTAACAGTTCTTTAAACAGACTTCTGGAAGATGTTCAGTGAGACGGGGTCTACGAGGCTGGATAATCTACAGTAGGAGGCTTGGATTTCAATGAGAAAAATAATTAGATAACCTATTAATAAATCTGTTTGAGTGCTTTTTTGTTGGCTTTTGTTAGGTCCAGAACTAGTGCCAGAAAAAAGAACTAGATGAAACAGAGAAAAAGAATAGTCGACTTTGTGCTCTTCTCCTAACCAAACCTTCCTCAGTCTGACTGCTGAGACAAGACATTTGACAATAAAGGCCAATTAATTACACATCCAGTATGAATTACTTTCATTTCCTGATCATGTCATAACACTGTTTCATTTGCATGACATGAAAAATACTTTTCAAGCCTATTCTGACAGCTGTGGGAACCAACTGACCAGTGTCCACAGACAAAATTTCGAAAATACATATACAATTCAGCGCCTTTTGGAAACACTTTTTGTCCAGACTATGCTTAAAGGATGCTTAATTTTTTACAGTTTCTGGTCAATTCAATGGTTAAGAGATACAATGTCATAAATAGGGGTGGGCAACTGCATAAACTATCGTTATACGCTGATGATCTTCTTCTTTTTCTGTCAGACACAAACACGTCTATACCTGCTGCTCTGAAAATCATATCAAAGTTTGGGCGAGTGTCTGGATATAAAATAAACTTGGGTTAGAGCCTTCTCTTCCCCATCAATGAGAAAGCACGTCAGATGTCATTCCATCACTTCCCATTTCTAGTAACCAAGGATAAATTTATCTACTTAGGGGTCTCAGTAACAGCCACGTATAAAAATCTGTTTGACAGCAATTTCAAACCTGCACTGGAGAAGGCTAAACGAGACACGGAACGATGGTCAGTCCTTCCTTTGTCCCTTGCAGGAAAAATTAATGCCGTAAAAATGTCTGTGATGCCAAAATTTCTATTCCTATTTCAAACCATTCCGATCTTTATTCCTAAAGCTTTTTTAAAAGAGCTAAATAAATTTACTTCCACTTTCATCTGGAACAAGATCCTTCCTCGGATTAGGAAGGAATTCTTAGAAAGACAGAAAGAGGAGGGGGGATTAGCCTTGCCATTTTATATGTACTATTACTGGGCAGCTAATATTCACAAGCTGGTGTTTTGGGCTCTAGACTCACTAGAAGGAGAAGTTCCAATATGGGCTAAGATGGAGCAGCACTCCTGTAACCCAGTATCACTGCTTTCTCTCATCTGTGCCCCATTACCTATTAGCAGACGTCTTTTCACAAATAATCCAGTGGTAAGTGGATCGCTGAAGATCTGGTCTCAGTTTAGGATGCATTTCAATAATAGACAGGCCCTCCCCTCTGCTCCTATCATGGCAAATGCCCTGTTTCCTCCATCGCTTATTGACGCTACATTTCAAATATGGGCCAGGAGAGGTGTGGGATGCGTAAAAGACCTGTTTAAAAACAACATATTTGTTTCATTTGAACAGCTTAAATCAGACCTCGGTATCCCACAGTCTAATTTCTTCAGATATCTTCAGGTGCGCAGTTTCATCAAAAAATATTTTTCACCATCTTTGACATCTCTTGAGAGAAACTGGGTAGATGAATGCTTAAACATAAACCCTTAAGGCAGAGGGGTGGTATCTGTACTATATGAAATTATCCAAAGAGTTGCCTCCCCCACTTTGACTGGTATGAAGGTGCAGTGGGAGGAAGAATTGGGAGAGGAGATTCCAGAGGAAGCTTGGCAATTGGCTGTGAAGTTAGTACATTCATCATCAATATGCATAAGACATGGACTACTACAGCTTAAAGTGCTACATAGATTACATCTATCCAGAAATAAATTGGCAAGAATATATCCAAATACAGACCCAACCTGTCTTAGGTGTAAGCGGGACCAAGGCACCTTAAGCCATATGTTTTGGTCATGCCCCAAATTGCTAGATTTTTGGCTAGGCATCTTTAATACTTTTTCACATATTTGGAACACACATTTCGAACCTAATGCCCTTACGGCTTTGTATGGGGTAGTTCCAGAAGATACCCAAGCAACTTCAGAACAGTCAGAAGTCATAGCCTTTTAAACGTTACTGGCTAGGCGTATGATCCTTCGTAGGTGGAAGAGGGCCGAGGCACCATCCCATAAAAACTGGATCAAAGAGGTTATGGCACATCTTAAACTTGAACATTTGAAGCATATTATCAGAGGTTCAACCAGGAGGTTTTATAAATGCTGGCAACCATTTTTGACACATTTTGAGACTGAGCATTCTCACTCATTAAACTAATTAATTAATTTTTTTTCTTCTTCTTTTTCCCCTTCTCATTTTCCCCTCTTTTGTTTTTCTCCCCTTTCTTGCTTGACTTTAGCTAGGTCTTAGAACATGTGTATGCAAGGATCGCTGTTGGGGGGTTTAGGGGCCAGGAGAATTTGTCTAGAAGTCGTCTGGTAGTGTTTGTGCATAAATATTGAAAAATCAATAAAAACATTTGAATAATAATAAGAGATACAAAGTCATTCGGAGTGGTTTGGTGTGAAATTGTTCATTGTAGAGAAACTTATAGACTCAGGTTTCTTTACAGCGGTGGTGATAGGAACCAGGGGTCATCACGTCCACAACACAAATATAGCCATTTACACGTGTCTTCTGGGTATTTTATATGTAGTATGTTGATGATGGTAAAATTGTTGAAAATCTGAAAAATAATCTTTAGGACTATTTTGCCTAATAACACTCTGCAGGTACTTCTCATGTATGAATGAGTGTTAAAAAAAGGTCACAAATTATCACTCAGTGAATTTCTCTAGAATGACACCTGCCCTGCACTTGTACCTCCTCTAACACACTCAATTCAACTCATGAAGGGCTTGCTGATTAACAAACTCACTTATAAGAGAAGCCAGTGGGCATTTGCAGAACTTTTTGAAATATGTGACTATATAATGATGATTTAAATTTACTCTAAAGCCAAATTTACAGACTCTCATAAGGTACTAATTTGATTCACAACATGTATTTCTGTGTCATGAGTGTATTTGTTTTTTAAATAAGTTCTAGGTCAAAATCTTCTCAAAACTACAACCCCATTTTCAAAAAAGTTGGGACGCTGTGCAGAATGTAAATAAAAACATGCAATGATGTGCAAATCATGTAAACTATATTTTTAAAGGAAAATACTACAAAGTCAACATATCAAATGTTGAAATTGAGAAATTTTATTGTTTTAAACATAGGCTCATTTTGAATTTGATGCCAACAATACGTTCCAAAAAAGTTGGGACGGGGGCATGTTTACCACTGTGTTTCATCACCTCTTCTTTTAACAACACTCTGTAAGCATTTGGGAACCAAGGAGACCAATTGCTGCAGTTTTGAAAGTGAAATGTTTTCCCATTCTTGTTTGATACGGGATTGTAACTGCTCAACAGTTCGGGGTCTCCTTTGCTGTATTTTTCACTTGATAATGCACCAAATGTTATCATGTTATCAGACCTGGACTGCAGGCAGGTCATTTTAGCACCCGGACCCTTTTAATACAGAGCAATGCTGTTGTAATACATGCAGAATGTGGTTTGGCATCGTCTTGATGAAATCTTCTTCCCTGAAAAAGACGTCATCTGGATGGCAGCATATGTTGCCAAAACATGTATATATACTGTTCAGTATTACTGGTGCCTTCGCAAATGTATGTCACCCATGCCATGTGCGCTAATGCACCCCTATACCATCATGAATGCTGGCTTTTGAACTGTGCAATGATAACAACCTGAGTGGTCTTTAGCCCGGAGAACACAGTGTCCATGATTTACAAAAAGAATTTCAAACGTTGATTCGTCAGACCACAGGACACTTTTCCACTCCCCTCAGTCCATTTTAAATGAGCTCGGGCCCAGAGAAGGTGGCAGCATTTCTGGATCCTGGGTATGTACAGTTTCGTCTTTGCGTTTTAGAGTTTTAACTTGCATTTGTGGATGCAGCGACAAACTGTTTTCACAGACAGTGGTTTTCAGAAGTGTTTGAGCCCATACAGTGATTTCCAACATGTTGTTGGCATCAAATTCAAAATAGGCATATATTTTTCAAAAAACAATAAAATGAGGCTTTAAACTCTTCAGACATTGGGTTCCTATCACCACCACTGTGAACAATTCAGACTCTGTATGTTTCTCTAGAATGGACCCATATGGAACAAAAATATATGCATATATATTCTTATATATAGTCTTAGCACTTACAAACTTACAATGAGTTCTATATAATTCATTGTACATTTCTGTATATTTATACAACATTAATATACACCAGTGTGTTGCTTAACATTTATGTTCCTTATGTGGGAGACCAAGGTTCAAGTCCCACTTCAAATGGGATTCTACATGTAATATATGTAAATGTATTAATGTATATGCGCATATATATATATATATATATATATATATATATATATATATATATATATATATATATATATATATATAGATTAAATGTATGTAACGATGTTCAGATTTAATATATGCACATGTATGACAGATATATATGAAAGGACTGTACAAACACATATTTTGAAAAATGTCGATAGATGATCTCAGCATATGGGGGCATTTCAAGAAAATCAATAATAATAATGACAATAAGGAGAAGAAGATAAAGAAGAAGAAGAAGAAACAATAAATAAATATGATAAATAAATAAATAATAAACGTTCACCGTCTGAATTCAACAACTGCCTATTGGCTTCTATTATGAGACACTGTCATATCAACAGGTTTTCTAGGTGCAGGGAAATTTGCTGAATCAACTGGCTGTGATAATCGACTGCAGAGCGCAGATCCAGCAGATAAAGATGAGGTTGGAAAACAGGGGAGTATTCCTATAAGTCTTTTAGAACAAATGATGCTGGGTGTGAAAAGGCTGCAGAAGGCAGTTTCCCACGACCTCATCCTCTGACTGAGCAAGGTGTCAACAGAAGCACGTCAG